AACAAAAAACAACACATTATAAATGACACATGGGGCCGGGGAGACAGCTCAGTAGAATAAGCGCCTCCCTGGCAAGCGCAAGGGTCTGAGTTCAATCCCCGGTTCGGGGGGCGGGGGGGGAGAGAAAAAGAAACGACACAAACCTCTATCATTTCTGAAAGATACTTAGGCTGGGTTTAGAATTATAGGGTGACAGATTCTTCTCTTTAAGCGCTCTTGGGATGCTTCATCAGTTTTTGCTTCTTTTTTTTGTGGTGCTGGGCATCAGGACCTTGCACTTGCCAGACTGGCATTCACCACAACACTGAGCCATTTCCTGGTGCATTTGATTTGTTTCCAGCAAGAAAGCAGTGTCAGGATGGCCAAATAGCTCAGTGAATTAAAGCACCTGCAAGCAGGTGCAGGGGCTGGAGGTTCAATCCCTGGGCCTGTGGCACACCGAGACAGCAAGAATGGGTGTGGTGGCACACGGCTGTAATCCCAGCTCTTGGGAGGCTGTAAACAGGTGGATCACTACGAGTCTGATCTAGTAGTGAGACCCTGAACACCCTGCAGACCCTTCCCAAAAATACAAAAAAATAAAAAAGCAAGCAGTACCAGCAATGACTCCACACCGAGATGCATCTCCAGTCACTTCTAAGGTTTCTGAGTCAAGGTCATGTTCTTTTAACCAGGCTTGAATTTGTAGTCCTCCTGTTGCAGCATCCTCGGCGCCGGGACTGTGGGTGTGCGCCACCGTGCCAGGCACCTCTGTAGCTGTCCCTCTGAATGTAACATGTGTATTTTCCCCAGGATCCTTTTTTTTTGGAACTGGGGATTGAACTCAGGACCTTGCACTTTCCAGGCAAGGGCTTAAATCACCATCTCCCCAGCCCTTATCTGTTCCTTTTGGTACTCATTTATCATGGCCTGTAACTTTCCCCTTATTGTTTGTTGTTACTGTCTCTTTGAAGCAGGGTCTCACTAAGCAGTTCAGGTTGGCCTCTACCTCGCAAACGTCTTCCTGCCTCAGGCTTCCAGGGTACTGGGATTATAGTGGTGCACCACCATGCCCCACTGGCTTCTCCTTATCGTTTTGAGTAATTGTATTATGTACATTTCATAGTTTTTGTCTTGGAGTTTGCTGAGCTTCTTGGATGTATGGGTTTTTCTTAAACTGATACATGGATTGTACGTGTATAGGATGCCTCAGGATATTTTGATACACATATACACTGTGTAATGTTTAAATAAGAGAAGGGCTGGCCTGATAGCTCAGCAGACTAAAGCGCCTGCTTAGGCAGAGGCAGTGGCCAGGGTTCAGTCCTCAGCATGTGGGGATGGCACTGACCTTGGGGGCGCTGAAACAGTGAGACTGGGCATGATGGCGTGTGCCTGGAATTCCAGCACCTGGGAGGCTGTAAACAGGAGAATCACTATGAATCTGATCTATGTAGTGAGATCCTGAACACCCTGTAGACCCTGCCCTAAACACAGAAGGAAAAAAAACCAGGGTAAACTGAGTCACCTCCATAAAAACATACTTCTTGGACAGGGCATGGTGATGCACACCTGTAATCCCAGCACTTAGTAGGCTAAGGCAGGAGGGTCACAGCAACCTTGAGTCCCTACTAAACTATGAAGTGAGACGGGGTCTCAAAAAGACAAAGGCCAGGGAGATAGCTCAGCAGCATAAGCACCTGCCTGGCAAACACAAAGTCCTAAGTTCTATCCCCAGTACCACAAAAGAAAAAAAAAATGATGTGCAAGTGCAGGTGATTAAACCGAGCTATATCCCTATCCCCCTCCTTTTTTTAGTGGTACTGGAAATTGAACTCAGGACCTTGTTTGCCTGGCAGGTGCTTATGCCTTCTGAGCTATATCCCCAGCTTTTTTTTTTTTTTGAGACAGGGTCTCACTATGTACTCCTGGTTGGCCTTGAACTCATTACATAGCCCAGACTGGCCTTAAATTTGAGATCCTCCTGCTTCAGTCTCCCATGTCCTGGGATCACAGCAGGGCGCCACCACATCTGACCCAGCCTTGAGAATGGTCACCTCAGTGGCAGCTAAGGTAACTTACTATCTGTTAGTACAATTAGGACATTTCTGGTGTATCTTCCACCTCTTTAAACTTTGTGAACAGATGGGTCATGTTATATAAAAAGCCTCCTGGGCCAGGGAGATGGTTCAGTGGAATAAGTGCTTCCCTGGCAAGCACAAGGGCCAGAGTTCAGTCCCCGGTTCCACCAAAAAAAAAAAAAAAAAGAAAAGAAAAGAAAAAACAAAAGCCTCCCAGAGTCCTGTGCCAACATCTGTGCTGCTTCTGGATCCACTTCCAGGGATCGCTTTTTCCTCTCAGGACAGCTGTACTTTCCTGCTTCTCTGTATGCCTGGTAGTATTTTACATGACGCCAGACTATGTGAACTTGACGTCGTGGAGCCTCAGTGGCAACCATTTTCCTAAAACAAACCTCTTAAGCTTTTCTTTCCTGGGACACAGTCAAGCTCCGCACAACGAACTTGATCCTTTCAGGGATTACTTCTAAGGTTTAACCGGCCCAGGGCAGCATTCGGGGTAGACGTTTCACTCCCCATCACAAGGCAAGGTCCGAGCACTTTACCCAACGCCTCGCCAACGGGTCTTGGCCGACCTGGTCGATGGGAATGGGTCCCTCCCCGCCAGCGCGAGCACCGCATCCTGTCCCGGAGCTCTCGGGAGGGTCCCTTCCAGCCTGGGGGAAGCGCAGCGCCAGGCCCGGAGCTTCAGGGAAGGCCGCAGCAGCGCTGCAGCCCCAGGATCTCCTGACCCGCTCTCCGCTGGGCCTCCAAGGTTCTGCAAGGCCGGCTGCAGACGTCCTCTCGGCACAGGTTCTGGAAGAACGTACCCGTGACCCTCCCAAAGGGCAGTGGCCTCAACGACTTCGGCTCTGATGCTCCCAGGAGTCCGTCCACTGAACGCGCAGCAGGCACTGCCCACGGAGCGCTCGGTGCAGCCGCGGCTCCCGCAGGCTCTCCCCGGGCCGCCTGCGGTTCTGCCGAGCGGAGCGCGGGCTGAGTCCGCGCACTCGGTTCCTGTGCGTGTTCATCGACAAGCAGATTGGCAGGGCAGGGAAACTGGTTCTGGGAGGGCTCTCGGCAGTACAACCTGGGGCAGGCCTGGGGCAGAAAAGGGACCTGGAACCAGATGGCAGAGCAGGTGCCAGCGTGCCCAGGGCCTCGGCGTGCCCTGCGGCCTCGCGGGGACTGCCGGACGCCGCCAGGCTCCGGGTGGGCGTGACCCGGGATGCTCCTTCCAGCCTGGGAGCCCCGCGAAGCCCGTCTCGGCGCTGCTGGGGTGGCGCGGGGCGTCAGCGCAAGGCCGCGGGCGCGCCGCCCGGGCGGGCCAGGCTCCGTCCGCGTTCAGGCCCCGGCCTCCCCAGGGGCTGGCTCCTGCAGCCGACCTCGGGCCAGCCGCCCCGCCAGGCGCGGACCCGGGAGAGGGCCCCTGCGCCCTCGCCGGCCAGCGCTGCTAACGGGCGAGGCCGCGACCCAGGCCGCTTCGCCCCGTTCTCGCCGGCAGGAAGTTCCTCGCACCACGTGGCTCCACGGGTCTCTGGAGGGGCTCCCAGCGGCGAGCTGCGGGGTCAGAGGCTGTCCCCAACAGGCCCACGCGCACGAGAAGGGCCGCCCCGTAGCGCCGCTCCCCGTGAGCAGCGCATGAACTCGGACACCTCGCGGTCTCGAGGCAGAGACCGGCGAGCGCCCCACCCCCACCCCGCAAGTGCGGCCGGACTGGGCGGGGCGCAGCCCCTCTGCCCCGGAAGCGGAAGCGGCGCGTGTCCGGGCCACGGCTCGCACGCATGCGCAGGGCAGACCCGCCGCGTGACCCGGAAGTGCTCGCTGAGGCCCCGCCTCCACCCGCGATCTCGCGTTCTGGGGACTTGCCACTTCCTTTCTCTGCTCGCGCTCGTCGCGTGGAGATAACAGGTAGGCTGCGCGGGTTGGGCTTCAGGCGGGAGCTGCCGGGGCGATTTCTGGAGGCTGGACTCGGCCCGGTGGGGCTCGCGGCTCGGAACGTGCGGGGGCGCCCGGCGGGATCGGGCTGCGCCGCGCGCGGGGCAGGCCTGAGCTCGGTGCCGCGCGTCTGCTCTCTAGGCGGGGCCGCACCATGCAGAACGACGCCGGCGAGTTCGTGGACTTGTACGTGCCGCGGAAGTGGTGAGTGCCCTCGCCCCGCACTCGTGCCCACCCCTGCCCCGCCCTCGCCCCGCACGCGTGCCCCTTCTCCGGTGCGCGCCCCTTGCCCCGCCCGGCAGGCCGCAGCCCTCCCGCTCACCGCGCGCTCTGCACCCGCAGCTCCGCCAGCAACCGCATCATTGGCGCCAAGGACCACGCATCCATCCAGATGAACGTGGCCGAGGTGAGCCGGGGGCGGGCGGGGGAAGCCGGCCCCGCGGGGGCCTCGGGCCGCGCTCCAGGTGGGCTCCCCAAGCTCGCGGTTGTAGGTGCGAGGCCCACCCGCTCTTCTTTTCTTAGGTCGACAAGGTCACAGGCAGGTTCAATGGCCAGTTTAAGACCTACGCTATCTGCGGGGCTATTCGAAGGATGGTGAGCGTTTCGCTGTGCTTTACCATGCGGACTCCCTCCCACCCGGGGCCGCTGTGGGCTCGGACCTGGGCATTTGAGCATGTAGTGGTGGTTCCTGGTTTTTAGGCCAGGATACGTTGTTCGCAGGAGTAGGTTTAGTGGCCGCTTGCTTTTTTCCAGGGTAGAAAAGGGATGATCAAGGGCCCAGAAAATAGGCCCTGCCGGTAACTAGGAGTTCGCTAGTGTCCCAGTTTCCTGTTTGTATCCACTTTCTCTTGGGTAGAAACAGCAGTGGTGGTCCATGTAGGACCTCCTTCTGGCTCCAGTAGCCGTAGTGGAAATATGTTTTGATTTTTTTTTTTGCGGAACCGGGGATTGAACTCAGGCCCTTGCGCTTGCCAGGGAAGCGTTTATTCACTGAGCCATCTCCCCGGCCCTGGAAATGTTCTTAGAGGGCTTGTTTTTCAGGGTGAATCAGATGACTCCATCCTAAGATTGGCCAAGGCGGATGGCATCGTCTCCAAGTAAGCAGAGTTGACACACCTGGGCAGGGTGGTCTGTGGTCACCCCCAGAGCCTTGATTGTAATTTTGCCTTTCATTCCTTGTCGTAGGAACTTTTGAGTGGAGAGAGTTGTGGATGCGGAACGTGTGCTGCAAATAAATGGTCAGAATGTACTTGTGTGGGTTCATTTTGTCCCTGTGGGCATGCCCCTTGGGTCTTGGGGACAGGGCTAGTCCTCCACTGCCTGGGGGACTAGGGTGGTGGTGTCTCTGCTAAGCTGAAAGAAACCAGGTAGTATAGTGCAAAACAGGTTTACTTCAACAAACAAATAGGAATCTACTTGGAAACAGTCCGACAAGTTGGCTTGAACCTTCTGAGGTCAGTCATTTTGCACATGTACGTTCACGACGCAGGGTGCTGGGAAGTAGCACCAGGTCTGGCTTCACGTGGTGGTGGCCCAGCTGGACAGCTCCGACACAGCCCAGGACTTCTGGACTCAGTCTAGAGGATGCCAGCGTCAGGCTGTCGTTTATTAAGTGTTGGCCTTGTGGCAGCAGCTGTCAGATACCACACAGTGGCAGCTCTTGGCTTTACTGGAAAGGACTTAGATACATAAGGACTTCAAACAGACCAGTATCGTAAATGACTAAGTTTTCCTACATAAATAACAAACTGAAGTTACCATTTGTGTTTATCAGCCATTTTCTTGATGGTAACTAGCGTTTAGGGAGTCCTAGGGGAGGTGGCCCCAGAGTAGGCTGTAAACCAGAGCAGCTTGGAGATGGGTCCCGTACAGTGTTGCTGACAAGCGCCCAGGAGACACCAGTTTTGCAGGACAGCCAAGGGAGCATGGCCTGCGTTAAGATCCAATACTGTGTGGTGTACTCCTGGGTGTGCTCAGGAGTTGTGGTGCAGTGCAAGGGAAACTGGCCAGAATGTATATGTGTGCGATACAGCATTACCAGCTTTCACAGTGACACGATGCTGAATTAGATGAGAACAGACCTGGGGCCTGCTCTTGGCTTACGCCGACACCAGAAGCAGTGCTGATGTGGAAGTGCCGAGGGAGCTTTGCTTGGGGGGAGCAAGTGCTGATGCTGGGAGACACTGCTGGGCTTAGGGCCACGCTGCCACATCCAGAGAAGGAGACACCCAGGTGCATCCGTGGGTAAGCTACACCAGGCATCTCAGGCTTACAAGGGCTGGCCACCCAGCTCTCCGTGCTGCCAGTGCTGCACCTGAAGGTTGGCGAAAGTAAGGCGAAGGGAGGGAGATGGCGAGAACTCGGTTCACCACCGCATGATGAAAACCTAAGTCCTGGTGCCAGGCCACTGTCAGGCACATGAAAATGAAACTCCACACTTCAGTAAAACTCAGGAAAATTCTCAGAGATATCCTTGTGTGGTGCACTTCAGAACAAAAGCAGCATCCCTCTCCAAGGAAACAAAGTGCCCAGGCTGCAAAAGTTGCGCAGAAAAGGGCGGTGGGCAAGGTGGGTGGACACACAGGTGCAGTGGCCTGGGCCCGGCCCGCTTCCTGTTGACTGACCCTCTGGGCCTGTGGCCGGGCTAGAACTGCTGGGTGAGGCGTCTATAGTGAGGTAACACTTGGTTCTCGGGAAGATACAAGGCTAGCTCCAGAGCCACGAGGACTGTGAACTCAAATCCAATGAGGTCGCGCCTGTTGAATCGGAATCTTTCTTCCAGCTTCTGCATGGGAGGGGAGAGAGGTTGGACAGGATCAGCCTGGTCTGGGTTCCCCACCTAAGGCATTGGTGTTGGTGTGGAATGCCTCCCCGCCAGTCAGGGCAGCCCTCCCTGTAAGCCTGGCCTTGCTCCTTGGGTGCAGGCACAGAGGGGACCTGGCCTGCCGGGCTTTGCTGTGGGGACCCCACACTTACATCGATAAGTTGCTTTACATCGTTCTTGCGGAGGTCACTGCTGATCTTGGCAGCGAGCAGCACGCAGGCGCCAGCGCACAGCTTGCGGTTCTGTTTGTTGAGCTTGCCCTGTAGCACGAGCTTCTCGAAGTAAACGTAGGCCATGGACACAGTCACGGGCTCCAGGCTGCACTCCTCAGACAGGTTCCGCATTTCCCGCTTCAAACTGATGGGTTGGGTGGATGCCAGGGCCGTGGGCAGAGGCCGTGGCCACGGTTAGTGGTCACCCACCCATAGTGGCTTGACCCATGGCTTTGGGGTGTCGGAGAAGGTGCCACAGCCTTCACGGGACAGCCTGGGACAAGGCCACAGCCGGCACCCGCCTGGCCCATCCTTACCTCCTGATTTTGCTCAGCGTCAGTTTGATGTGTGGGAACTTTTCTCTGAAGGTCTCATTCATGTCCTTCTTGAGGTCCGAGGGCTTCACATACTCTATCACTGTGGTCTGTGACACAAGCAGCAGGTTGGGGGCAGCTCAAGGGCGAGTCTGACCTGGGTCTGTACATGAGAGCTTGCGTGTCTGAGGGTGAGGAGCCTACGAGCTGTAGTCCTTGGCCACAGGTGCCTGATGCCAGGCGCCCAGGGTGGCGGCAGGGGCGTGTGGCTTCTGGCTGGTCCACATGTTGCCAGCGTGTGTGGGCCAGCCCCCACCCTCCTGTCCCTGATGTTCTAAAGTGGGGCAAGGTATCTTCTGGGCTGGCCATCCTGGGCTTTGCGTGCCCAGGCAGCTTGCCCACTGCCCGCGCTGCTGGAGCTGGCACTCGGTGAGGCATTCAGCCTCATGCTGTGGTGGCAGGCCGGCCCTTACCATATAGGAGGCAAAGATGAGGACGCGCTTGTGTTTCCCACAGGGCCACTGTGGGTCATCCAGAAGGTTGGGGTTGTACTCCAGGGTGTCTCCCCCATCGCTCCCTGTAAGGACAGGCAACTCCTGACCCACGAGAACTTCCCTCAGTGAAACTGCTGTAGTCTGACGGAGAGGGGGTGGCCATGGCCTCCCACCCAAGGGCCCAACAGGGAGGTTCCTCTCCACTGCCTGACTCTGGAAGTGCCCAGGGTTGTGTGCAAACCAGAGCTGTTTCTATAGAGAGGCCATGGCCTCTGCCTGGCTAGGCTTTGCAACAGGGCTTCAGGAGTGAATGTGGCTTCCTGGGGCTGGCTGCCACGTGGCTGGCCCTGGCCTGGCCAGTGCTGCTATCTCTCCTCTGGCGTGGTGAAGGCCTGTAGGCCACCTGGGTAAATGGGGAGGCGGGTGCCTACCTAGTTCTGTGCCAGCTGGTGTTGCCTTGGCGGTGGCAGGTTTGTGTCTTGCTCCTGGCAGAGCCCGGGGGATACTGGGCCGAGGCTGGGGCAGTAGGCTGTGGCTGTCGCCCTTGTGTGCAACCAGAGCGTTGGTAGGGTACAGGAACTTTGCATAGGAGACAACCTGTGGAAGCAGCTGTGTCAGGGCTCAGTCCTGCTTCTCTTCCGTGCCGCAGGAAGGCCAGGCTTCCGAGGGTGCCACACAGCCCAGAGCGCCAGGAGGAGCCGTGAGCACCGTGCCACTCGCTCCCGTGGGCTGGGCTTCACGCATCACAGCATCCTGCAGCACCAGCTTCCCACCCTCTGTCTGGGCCTATGCACCAGGACGCTTTCGCTGCCCATGAAGACCCCTGGCCTCAGCCTACCAGCTAGGAGCTGGGCCACACAGTGTGGGAGCCCACGCTGCAGCCTGGGTGGTGCTGCATGTGGTTCACACTCGGGTGCTTTCTCAGGGCTGGCAGCAAGCCCTGCCTTTTGTTTCAGATTAATGTGGAAGGTGCCTTCCCATGTCCCTGTCCATCTGGCCCTGAGCATGCTGGCCGCCTAATGCCCGTGGGCTCCTTGCCTTTCCATCTGCTCCCAATTCAACGCCTTCCAATTCAAAGACCATCTCGGAAGAAACAGACACGCCACCTGATGGATGCCTCTGCTTCTGGCTGTCCACCCTTAGGTCACTGCAATGCACAGGAGGAAGGGGCTGTGGCCTTCTGCCCACTGCTGCAGTGGAAACAGGGTCCACGCTGAGCTGGCAGCTCAGCCCCCGACCATCTGCACCAAAGCGCTTGCCCCGGCCTGCACAGCTCTTCATGACGCAGAACTCGGAGGTGTGCGTCAGGGAGCACCTCGCCGTGAGGACACCGCCTCACTCCTGCCCATTGGAGATGTGACCTGTCCAAACCTGGGGGCGGCAGCACCGTGATGCCACCTGGCACTTACCGTCACTTGCCTGAGCTTGGTTGCTGGGTTCGTAAAACCCCTTACCTGCAGTCACACCCGCAGCAGCTCAGCTCGGAGCCTGAGAACTGGTTGCTTCCCCAGGCAGGAGGACTGTCACTATTTTTATGTATGCCAGGGTCACACACAATGCTGCCCCCCCCCCACAGCCATTTCCTTCTTTCCTAAATTATGCAGGATACTCGACTGTGCCTGTAGCAGGGACAGGAACATCCCAGGGAACCTATATATAGACAGGTTGGACACAAACCACAGCTCTCCAGAGAACAAAGACAGGAAAGCGCTGGAGTCCCACACTCTGGTGGCAGCTAACGTGGGTGGGTGGCACCTCTCCTGCTGGCTCAGCAGGGCCAGGGCCTGGGACAGCTGTGACAGGAACACTCACCTGATCCGCAGGCCTTCTCCATAGGGCAGGACCGAGAAGGCCGCACACAAGGACCGCTTGGCACAGATGAGCACGATCCTGCGAGGAGGGCAGAGGGGGATGGGCAGTGCTGTTTCCAAAGTGCTGGGGGTTTCCCAATCACTACGAGGAGACTCTCAGGCCCAGGAAGCCCAGAGAGGCTGCACGGGGCAGGCCTGGTGGTGACAGCCTTGGGCTGCACTGGGCATGAGCACATGTATCACGTAGGCAGGGTCCTCCCTGCCCCTCTTGTCCCTGGGCACAGCGGCCAGAAGGCTTACTTTGGGACAAGCCCACCCATGAAAGGCTATGCCTTGCTTATAAAAGTGGAGGGCCTGGGGCTGAGGGGCTGTGGCCTGCTTAGAGGTGGGCCTCAGTAGTTCTCAGAAGCGCAGGGCACAGTGTGGTCAGGAAGCACGAAAGGCAGGGGACTCCTTACGTGCTGCTTGGGCAGTGCCTGGGATGCAGGAGCAAGCAGCACCCGTGGCCACAACACGGCTCCTGCCCCCACTGGTTGCAGCTCCACCTGGCCAGGCCCACAGTCCCAGTGCTACGCTGCCTCAGGTCCCTGCTGCAAGGTCCCCTTGGGTTCCTGAGGACAGCCCAGTAGAGTGGGCTCCAGGGAGAGAGGAACACTCGGTGTCCCGTATCACAGCAACTGGCAGTACAGAGGCAAGGGGCAGGGCCTGACCCAGCAGTTCTGGGCAGCTACACACTAGCTGTTAGCTTAGCCTGCTTGTTCTCCCAAGTATGACCAAGCCTCCTTCCTGGACACTTCTCAGGGTAAGCCCATTTCTGTTTCCAGTTTTCCTTTCTTGTGTCCACCTGGTAGCCTTCCTGGGGACTGTGCAGCCATGTGCTTGCAGGGCATGTCAGGGGCCTGCTAGGGTTCAGCAGTACAGGGAGGTGCATGTCTACCTCTCAGTACCCCAGACTCCGCACAGTAGGCTCTGGACACAGCCGCGGCACCTCAGGTCTGGGAGGACCGGCAGCAGGGCCCGGGCCCGGTTACCTGCTGTTCCTTGTGTCATACTGCCTCATGTTCTTGATGAAGTGCGTCTTCTTCAGGCCTTTGTGTCGAGGTGACCCAGACACATGCTTGGCTCTGCGAGGTAAAAAAGGGCCGGTCGCGTTCTGTGGGCCTCTTGGGCTAGTGCTGCCCCAGGCAGGGTGGGGCACGATGCCTACCTCTGTACTGGGGCACAGCCTGCCGTGTCTTCCAGGAACTCCAGAGGGCAGCGCTGCGACGCGACTCGCCTCCTGTAAGGAAAACACAGAGGCTTCAGGACAGTGTCGGTGCCTCACAGCTTGCTCCCTGAGCAAAAGCAGTGCCCTCCAGTGCAGGCCGGGCTGCGGTCGCCTAGCTGTCAGCCCGGGGCCCAGAGGCTGCCGCCCCCGCAGCCCTTGTTGGAAGTGGAAGGAGGTGTCCTTCCTGTCTGCCTTCCCTGTGGCTTTGGCCCCTGCAGGACGGGGCTGCTGTGCACTCAGGGCTGGGTCCTCAGTACCAGGAGGCCAGGAAGTGGGGGCAGAGTTGGGCAGGCTTCTCAAGGCTGAGGAATTAGAGCCTCACACAGCTATACCTCTGCATCAGGGTGACAAACTTGGGTTATTGGTCCCAGGGTCACCACTGCGCCCGTTTACTGTTTACTGACCTCTTGGTCTTCACAGAGTACACATATCTCCCTGGCAAGTCATGCCAACTGCAAGCTATAAAGGCAGCCCCTGGAGGCCGAGGCATCAAGGCCAAGGCCACCGATGGGAAGGCACAGGGGCGCTAGCTCTGCAGCAAACAACTCACCCCACACCTACCGCCCCGGGGAGTCCGAGCCAGGCCGCACTGGAGGAACAGAGACGTGAGGAGCCTGAGCCAGGCTGTACCATGCTGGGCACAAGGACTCCAAGGTGCCTGCCATGTCGTGGGCACTTGGGCTGCACCCAGCCTCTCGGGAGCTTTGGTTTTAAGTTTATTCTCCTATTATTAGACGAGCAGTGCAAAGCTAGACAACTAGAGAAGGAAGCACTCATCTGACTCATCACCCATAATCTCTTCATGGAGACCAGCACTGCTACCTTGCTGGCATAAATCACAGGCACGCCCAGACCGGGGCCAGCCATTTTCCCCAGTACCCACATCTCTTTGTGTCAATCACATCCTGGCCCTGGGGGAGGTGGGACAAACACCCCTGTTCACCTGCACGCTTGCTGATGGCTCTGTGGGGAGACGCCTGGGGTGGCACTGTGGGCCAAGGGCACCTCAAACCCCAGGAGAACTAGGCCCAGCTCAGGAGAGGGGGCTAAGACCTCCCCCAAAGAATGCTACGATACAAGCCACTGCCCTCAGGAACCTCCCGTGGGTACATCTGCTGAGTGGATGGGTGTGTGCAGGAGTAACTTCCACTGGGCACGGCTCGGCTGCCTGCGGGGAGCCCTGACTCAGAACAGTCAACAGAGCTGTGCAGGCAACTCTTGCTCTGTCTTGTAGCAGAGGCCACGGATGCTCATGCTGAGGGCCCCAACGGATTCCAACAATGTAGTTCGTAAGGTCAAAGACCAACATGTGCAATACTGCAGTAACAGGAAAAGCGCCCGTCAGCATAACAGAGATGGAGGGTCCGCAGGTGGTGGTGGTGGCTGAGGCGACTCGATTTCACTAAGCACCTGCTCAGGGCGGGACACAACACTTGGTATGCCCATGCCTTACTCAGCACCAAGGGGCTGTGTGGGGCTGGGACACCAGCCAGTGCCTCAGCATGAGAGGTGGAGAGGGTCTGGGAGCCTAGAGCGTCCTGGGGACTCGGAAAGGAAAGGCCTGCTGATTCAGCGGCCCAGCGAGTCCCAGGAGGGAAGGCCAACGTGGAACTCCACACACGGCCTCCAGAAGCCACCGTTCTCCAAGGCTTGTGGCAACCTGGCTGAGGAGGGATTCAGGAAAAGGGCGAGATTCAGCCTGGTGCTGAGCACAGGCCGTGCTGCGCCTGCTGTGCCCATGACACCTGTCCTGCACTGTCCTGCGAGTAGCTGTCCTCGTCCATCCTTCTAGAAGCTCCCCCAAGCCCCAAGCCTTCATGTTTCCGCCTCCACAGCATGCTACGCCCTGAGCCGCCCAACTGGTGACTGACTGGGCTCACTCACACCCTGAGTAGCTGCAGGGCACAAACAAACCCCTGTGCAGCAAGTGCAGTTTCCTGGAGTCGTCTAGTGGACAAAATACAAACCCTCCAGGCACAAAGGGACATTTGCAATGGCAAGACCCTGAGCTGGGGAAAGGCACAGCCACACTGGACAGACTGCTTCCACCCCGTGGGCTGAGCCTCCAGGCCCTTGCAACAGCACGTGACAGTTCCCAAGAGAAAACAGGTCCCTGCTGCCTACTCATGCTGGGGCACTGTCATGGTTGGGGGCTTTGCAAGGGGAGCAGCACAAAATAGGACACATACTTTATAAGATTATGATGAATCACCCAAAGAATCACATACTAAGTGCAGAAGATCCGTCCACACACTAAAGACCAAAGACTTCAGCTGAGCACCTGGAATCCATGGCAATCTCCTGCGTGAGTCCAGCTGGAGGCCCAGAGCCCACCACAATGTCGCACGCAGGCCCACTTCACGGATCTACGCTGGGAAGGCCCCGGGTCAGTGGTGGAAGCTGCAAAGTCTGTGCCCGCGGGATGGAGGACCTGTGCCAGCAGGCTGAGGGATCTGCGCAGGAGCCAGGACGGGGTGCCCAAGGTAAGAACCAGAGCTTCCCCGAGAGGTGCCACAGCCGTCCTCTGCGACAGTGAGGTCCCGAGATCCTCTGAGGATGAGGACAGCCGAGTTCCCATCAGGACAGCCAATGCGACCCGCTTCTCTAGGAGACAGAGCTTTGCACCATCTTCTCCTCCAGAGCCAGCATGGCTCAAGTGAGGGCCAGGGCTCCCCAGAGTGAGCTGCAGCTCTTCGCAGTGACCATGAGGTCCTGAGCTCCTCTTATAAGAGCAGCCATGTTCTACAGGAAAGCCAGCAGGACAAGGTCCTCCAGCAGCTTCTCCAAACAGCATCCCTAACAGCCTCGCAACAGCTTCTTCAGGTCTGCCTCTTATGCTGCGGGCAACAACCCTGAGGTGGCCCACCACACCCAGCACCACGCTGGTTCAATTCAGCTGGGTGTAACAAGTTGACCACCAGTTGGCAATCCACAACAGGTACCACAGGCTGAATGGTGTCTCATCCCCCAACTTGAGAAATGTGATTGTCTTAGAAAATATGGTCTTTTTTTTTTTTTTTTTTTTTTGCTGAACTGGGGATTGAACTCAGGCCCTTGCGCTTGCCAGGCAAATGCTTATTCTACTGAGCCGGCTCAATATGGTCTTTTTATTCATTTTAGAAGGTCTCATTTTCTAGCACAGCATGGCCTTGAACTTTGATCCTCCTGCCCCAGCCTTCTGAGTGCTGGGATCAGAGACGTGTGCCACCGCATGCGTCCACAGGGATAATTAAGGTAAAAAGGTCACTAGTGCAGGCCGCGTTCCAATCTGGCTGGTGTCTGAATGAGAGGAGATGAGGACACAGACACGCAGAGATGATGCTACGGGACGCACTGGGGACATGCGCCACACCCAAGGAGAGGGTCCTCAAGAACAGGCCAGCCCACACCCTGCGCTTGGGCTTTCAAGCTCAAGCAGTGTGAGAAATAAATGTCTGCCATCTAAGCCCGGTCACACCCACCGTGTTAGGGTGGCCCAGGCAGGCGAATGCCAGGCGCGGAGCGCCACACAGGAAGTCAGGCTGTCCAGTCAGTGACGTGACCCAGGTATGTCAATCTGTTCTCTCTCAGGTTTCAGAATGGCTCTGAGCACCTACTGAGCCACATGGCCCAGGGTGTTAACAACTCTAGCACTCTGGGAAGCCGAGGCAGGAGGGTGGTGAGTTCAAATTCAGCCTGGTAACTTAGCAAGACCTTGTTTCAAAAATTAAAAAAGCTGTGCACATAGCTCAGTGCTAAGGCCGTGGTGGGGCTCAGTCCCTCATATTTAAAGAAAAGGAGCAAGGAGGAGAAAAAGTGGACATGCACAGAGCACTTGGTCTGGAAGACACGCCCACTGACAGCTGCCCAACACGGCTGATGCACTGCACCAGAGGGCAGGGGTCACCATGGCTCTGCAGCTTCTGAGCTGAGTGACCCAAGCCCAGCCCACTCTGTCAGCAGGAGCCCTGCCACCAAGCCTGAGCTGAGTTCCAGGTCCTGTGCCCTGGGCAGGACACCACAGCTCCTTGCTGGGGCTCTGGGTGCTGCCAGGCCAGCTTCCTTGCAGCCCCCTGGTGGGATGCTGGGTCAGAGCGTGGCCTGGCCCCACCAGGCCACCACCATGCGGCAGGACAGGGTGAGGCAGGGAACAAAGCAGCTGCCCCCAGGGTGGAGTCTGCATCCCCAAGGCTGCCTGGCTCTGCCCCAGGGGCCCTCTTGGGCTCATTCCCTTAGGGCAGCACTCTGCAGCTCAGGCAGGGCCAGCACACCTGGGACCGCATCTGTGGGCCCGCAGGGGTGGCAGCGGAAGCCGGGCCCGGGCTGCCGAGGAGGGGCTGCCGCGGCGCTGACCTCCGTTGTCTGGCGTTCTTCTGCATTTTCTGGGTACTCCAGAGACAACTTATCTTCTCGGCAGCTTTGAGTCTGTTCCCAGCTGGCTCACAGATCTTTTCCCTCCTGACTCTCTCTCCTCACACACATTTCATTTGTAAGATCGCTCTGCATAGCTCCAGCAGGCGCGCAGCACCCGCACCCGTTTGCAGGCCAGGGCAGGGGCACAAAGATGTTCAGTAACACGCCGGCGACTGCGCAGCTGCTAGCAGTGGGCCGCTTTCTGTGGCTTGGCTGCGCTGAGGATGGGCTGGGGTCCCCTCGTGTGACCTGCGCTGGCCCTCGTGGGAGAAGCGGCTGTGCTGCTCAGCAGGAGGTAGCATATGGGGTCAGGGCCTCCTAGACACAAGGCAGCACAAAAATTGGCGGGTGTCCTGTGGGGGCCGTGGAGGGCACGAGGCGCCTTCGGGGTGTTCTCTGAGGGGGTGGCTGGTATGGCGTGGCCTGGGGAAAAGCTGAGGCTGCACGCTCACTCTTCACACTCAGCTTGATGTGGGCACCTGCCACCTCAACTGAAAGGCACTAAAAGCAAACAGACCCAAAGGCGAAGTTTGGCTCATTTTCCACTGGGAGTCTGGTAAAGCCAAATTCTGCTGAGTTCAGGACGCCTGTTGGCGTGACACCACTAGGACACATGTGGTGTCGGCCTGAACGCCCTGTGTGGCAGGGGCAGGCGCTGGGCTGCTGGTGTCTGAGTTTTGGGATGGAAGTCAGAGGCTGGGGCAGGGAGGAGGGCAGAGCCACGGTGCCTTCCACAGCCATCTAGCTTGCTAACTTTCCAGGCTCTTCACCATCTAGCTGCAGACAATGGGCAGGCTGAGGCAGGCTCCTCTCTGAGGCTGATGACCACATCACCATGAGGAACCCGGACAGAGAAGGGGCCAAGCAAGCGTGGGTTGGGCTCAGGAGTGGCCAGCTACGGGAAGGCACTGAGACACTGGCGGCAGCGGGCGGCCCCTCCACATGGGACCACACTTGCAGGGTGCATGGCTAGCACGTTCAGCACCGTCAAGTGCGCATGCGTGCTTCCCCTGCCAGGGGCATGGGCAGTGCTCTTGTCTGGCCGGCCACTGTTCCACCTCCTAGTCTGAGCCTTGTGCCTGAAGACCAGAGCCCCTCATCTTGGTCACTTGTCTCCCCTAAGTCCTGGGCAAAGCCAGGGCACCCGGTTCCCTCACTCCTAGCCTCACTCCCCAGGAGGGAGGATTCACAGTGTGAGGACCCCAGGGGGTCCTGGGGCAGGAAGGGGCCTGGCTGCCAGGTCCAGGTCCCAGCCAGGTCCTTGGGTTGCCACAGGGACAGTGTCTCTGGGGGCAAGCGTCAGCTAACCATTCCCAGCTGTTTCCCAGCTGGAGAGAAAAGACACTCCCAATCAGGGCTGTAAACAAACTGGCAGATGCTGGACTGAAATCGGTTTAACCTGGCAGTCTCTGAATACTAAGCAGGACCTTGCTGAGACAGCAGTCTGTCCCTGCAGTTGCAGTCTGGGGGAGCTCTCAGGGCAGAGGTGGGTGGGCGTTGGGCCCCCACCAGCACAGCAACGCCCTTGCCTCACACCCAGTGGTTATCTTCATCTTGATTGATCACATTGGCTGGGACCCTATTTCCAATGAAGGCTCTATTCGCAGGCCTAGGGGTGGATAACCACTGGGTCTTTCTAAGAAGAGAAGGCCGTGAGACAGACCCGGGGTCGGGGCAGCAGGTGGAGACAGGCAGGCCCCAAAGCAGCACAGCCACAAGCCAAGGGATGCCTGTGCTCCCGAGATCTGGAGAGACAGGAAGGGTCCCTACCCTACCCTGGACGATGGCTCTCCCTGCACCCGACACTGGGCTTTTGTCCACCAGAACTGGAGAGAGCAAGTTGCTGCCGTACACTGCCTGGTTTGTGGGCCTTTGTCATGGTGGTCCCAGGAGACTCCAGCAGGCCTACCTCGCAGGAGACAATGGCCCGAAGCACAACAAGAAGCAGGCTTGGTTTCAGAACACCTGCTCCAAACCCAGCTCGAGGAGCCCAAGCTGCAGCTTGTTTGTGGGCATTAATCACAACGTTAGGGGCCGGGGAGATGGCTCAGTGGAATAAGCGCTTCCCTGGCAAGCACAAGGGCCTGAGTTCAATCCCTGGTTCCGGAAAAAAAAAAAAAAATAAATAAATAAATAAATAAATAAATAAATCACAACGTTAAGTGAAAATAATCGGTTCTATGAAGAAAACAAGGACTCCAGTGATTCTCTCACTAGCTTTGCAGAAATGCGGAAAGCCCTACGTGTCAATGCAAACTCCGCTTTGGACTGTGACGTGACCGTTCCCTGGTGGCCCTGCTTGCATGTCTCTGATGCTGTCCTGCACCCTGCTGAGCCCTTGGCATTATTTGACCTCAAGATGGCAGCACTTCCTGTGAGCCCATCCCAGGGGGGGAGACTGTGACTGGGAGAAGCCTGTGGGCTGCTCAAGGTCCCAGAGCTGTGACCTGAACCAAGGTTCAGGGCTGGGCTCTCTGGGCTGGGCTGGACCCCCATGCCATATGCTTCAGGAGCCACCTCCAGGAATTGAGGTGCTCATCCCTAGTCAGCAGATCCTGGAATTCTAAAGTTAGTAGTCAGAAGCTCCTTTTGCCAGAGGAATCCTCTCCCTTGCTTAGTGATGGGGGGGGGGGGGGGGGGGGAGAGAGAGAGAGAGAGAGAGAGAGAGAGAGAGAGAGAGAGAGACACACACACACACTATTGGGCCCCAGACACTCTGAGCCCTGCAACTCAGGCTGGTGGAGCCTGCTTGCCCATCGCAGCAGGGACAATGACTCTGGGAAATCAGAGTAGTACCCTGAACTTGGCGGCACAGTCCCAGGAGGGATGACTTCCAGAAGGTACAGCCATGAGGACAGTAGGAAGGACATCTGAATGGGAACTTGAAGGCAGGCCAAGGAGGAGTGGGTTAGTGACAGTTCCCTGAAGACCAAGGCCAAGGCTGGAGGACAAGGGGACAGGAGCAGCTGCAGCAAGAGGATGAAGGGCACCCACAGCCCACCCAGGGAAGCCAGCAGGGGCACACGCTCTTTCCAGAACAGCTAGGGTGGTGAACCACTACACAGAAGACAGCACTCACACAGAGTGACCAGCTGCCTGCTAGGGAAGCACAGCAAGACGGGGCTGGTGTCCACTCCCTCAATTCTTCCCACCCCAGAGGGCTGCAGGGCAGGCTGCAGGTCTGTTCTCATAGGTCCGGTACACATGGGGGTGGGGGAGAGCACTCACATGTGTGACGGCACAAGGAAGCCTGAGCCTGGCTGGGGTGCGCCTTGGGTCCCCAGGCCTCCTTCTGGAGTCCTGGACCCTGCTCTTCAAAGAAGGGGCTGGACATGCCAAGTGCTTGGTGCCCTGGGGCTATGTTCAGGGGAAAGTGATTCCTAGGCCCCAGGTGGCCCCTCTGACTGTCCTGCAGCAGCGGCCTGGCTAGTTTGCGGGTGAACCTCTTGGAGAAGGGCTCAGGTAGACAGGCCCCCTCTCAGCTGGCCTCAGCTGGGATGGCGATACCCTCAGACACTGAGAAACACGCTGGAAGGGTCCCCAGCCAGACTAGAGGAACTCTTTCACCAGGAGCACCCAGAAGGTTGACTGTGGGACTTCCAGGTACAAAAAGCCCGTCACACCAGTCCCTTCCGGGCACCCCTGCATGCGGCACAGATCCAAGGGCAGCCTGGGCATGGGGTCCCACAGTCACTCCTCAGGCAGAACGCAGTAGGGGACAGGAGGTGACCTAGGGGCAGGGTCACTTGAGGAACAGTGCTCTCTGCAAGAACCCAGGGTAAGTGGCAGGAGGACAGCCTAGAGTGGCAGCCCTGAGATGGGCTGAGGGCTCAGAGAAATAAAATCAGGGCAGAGGAGTACCACAGACCCCAGTCAGGGAGGCCCAAGGGCCTCAGGTGGCCCAGCAGCAGAGGGGTCTGGCTGGGTGCAGAAGCTCTGGGTGGGCAGTGTGAGGGGGACCCCGGGCCGCAGGCTGAGTCACGAGAAGACGGAGTGCGGGGGCACAGAAGGATGTCGGAGTCCTTGGAGGGCACCAACAGGGTGGGCTGGGGAGGGCTGCATCCAGAGCCAACAGGACCTAGGACGCGAGTGGAGACTGAGGGCTGAGGGTGCCCTGAAACCCAGCCTCGGGAGACTTCCCAGGTGAAGAAGCCGCTGGAACCCATGTGCAGGAGCTGACCGCACTGGGAGGACAATGACCACCACACCTAGAGGCTGACAAGGGTCCCAGTCACCCCATCCTAATTCTGTCCCGTTTTTGGACAACGGCCCCAGACACCTCAGTCCCTGGGGTTTAGACTGGTGGCCTCGGAACACCCCAGCTTTGATCCTTGCGTTCCGACCGACAGTCCCCGACCATCCTGACCCGAGTCATGGGGGCTGGCACGCCCCAGGTCACCAACTCCTGCGTCCTGGGCGAGTGCACCCCTGTCACCCCACACCTGCGTTCTGGGCTGCTGGGGCCCGGGTCACCCAGCGCCTGCACCCCGCCTGGATCCGGCCCCTGCCCCACTCACCTCTGGCGCTGGCTGTCCAAGCCGGGGCCAGCGGGCGCCGCCGCGGGGCTCAGCAGGCCCTGGGGCGCGGGCCGGGAGCACAGCCCGGGGAGGCCGGCGGGGGGCACCGG